AATTTTAATAAAAATAAATGTGAAATAAAATTATTATAAGGTTGCTAAAAAAAGTAAAAATGCCCCTGGAATTAAAATCATAAATCAAGAAAACAGGAAGCAAAACCATATACCAAATCAAAGTAAAATTGCAAATAAAACAATGATTAAAATTATAAAATAAATGAAACTGGATACTGTGTAAATTAAAAATAAGAATTTAAAAATAAAATTATATACAAAGATACCTATATGTGAAAGACATATTACCTACCATACTCATAATATTCTTCTACACAGACAGAAGGTTTCTGGAACCCTCTTCAGATTGCTGCCTTTGAGCACGGACTTTTTAGCAGATTCTTATATTATGCACTGCCACTTAACAAGGCAACTGCTCTTTTACTTATCTGGTAGTCTCCTTTGTTGATCTTCCTGTCACACTGATCTAGTGCCTTTCAGCAAGATGAAGAGGTCTCCATCCATTTGGTAGCCTGAACTTGGCAATACTGTAACATTTTTTTAATTGTTCTAGCATTCAAAATAATTGTTGGAGGTATATGCAGAGCAACAACTGGTGAAACAATACCACTGGCAAGTGGAACTGACTGATTGTGACTTTTTTCTTTTTCGAGACTTTTGCAAGATTATACATCATGGCAATAGGCAGCATGCTGGCCTTATCCCAGAAAAAAACTAGTAGGCTGTAGTGTACATTGAGTGTTCAAAAAGCAAGGATAGCAAAGTAACAGTTTGCAGTCATAATCAACAGTTATAATCGAAATCAGCTGTTAAAATCCTAGGGTCTTGTATAACAATGTTGCCAGCCATAACTGTGTATTTAACAAGTACTGTGTGGGCTGTTCCACAAAATGCTGCTGCAACTCACTGAATAGATCAAGTAATTATCACATATCAGACCAATGTCTTGTTAGGAAATACCTCTCAATAACTTTGAAAGTACGATTTCAATGCTTATGCAGTTGATGATTTATCAATCATCCACCTGTTCCATTATTAACTGATTATACTTCATCCTGTAAAAACCTTACTATTCAATACCTTGGAAACATCATCATTTTCAGACATCCTAATTGCTGGTAAAACAGTTAATTCAGTCTGATGATTAGAAGGTTGAAACTGGTGCCTTAGTTAATAATAACATTGAACAGGTATTTCCTCATCTGACTGCTCATGAACTAGTTCATATATACTATCAGCAATTTTCTAAGTTGATACCACAAGCCATAGTGCTCTTATCATTAGTCAATCTTCTCATCCACCATTCTCAACAAGTCATCATTGATATAGTTTAAACATTTTGATGTGTTCATGCATGTCATTCAACCATTGTGACTCATAATTCACAAACTAAGCTGTTAACATACAAACACAAATCAGTTGAGCAAGAAACAAGTTGCTTACATGCTATAGCCACATTAAAGTCTTACCGGGAATCATGCTTAAACTTTCATTCCACTGCTGTTTTGATGCACAGCTACTTTACTCATAAGAGGAAGTATACATTCATGCACCTCAACTATTACAGAATGCAGTCACTCTACAAACTGCTGTGGGCACTGTAGTACATCTACACTAGGCAGAAGGGCACATATAAAATCCAGTGGGAGAAGTACTTGTCTAAAAATCAGGAGAGTTGGAGCAGTACTAATCAACTGTTACTAAATTGTATTGTATACAATTAGGATCACTGTATGTGCTCATCCCAGGCAGTTTATTCATGATTCACAAACTTAGCAAGCATTCACTTTTAAGTTTGCATCACTCATTCAAACAAACGATAAGATTGGAAATAATATGACAAAGTACACATTTTCACTATACCCAACACTTGACAGAAATCTGCAAACAGCTTGCTACTGAAGTAGACTCCATGATCTGTATGATTATCTCCAAATGCTCAGAACTGTATTATTTACTGTTCAGGCAACAAACCAGTGATGGAGAGGAATAAAGAAACCACCAATGTATAAACACTCGGTCCACTTGGTGATATAAATTTATAGCTAGTGCACACCAGTTAATTTGCTCATTTTTGAGCAAAGAACCAATTATATCCAAGACAATTTTCTCAAAGAGTGAGCCTAAAACTCTTTCTTGCAAGTTTTCTTTAATGTGACCAGTTTTACCTCCAATTAGCACACATTGCACAGTTTCCATAATTACAGACATACACCAACACTATGAGACCACCTCTCAGTCATTACACAAATGCAGCCAGAAAGTTATTTCTGAATGTTTGCATCACTACCTGACACTCCCTGGTGTCCTATTCAGTCCTCCTAAACTTAAAAGTATAAATTTGCTGCTTTAGAGCTGTAGGAGCCACTAACAACATCATAAGTCAACTACTTTGTCTCAATGGTTCATCAAAATGGTACAACACACCATCTTTCACTCATACCTGACTACAGAAATGACAGATGTTACATGCACAGTATTCCATTTGAAAGTTTGTGATTACCAATCTTTATTTCCTGCAATTGCTCTATCGGATATTTTTAGATTGCACAGTATAGCCAAATAAACTTACTTAGTTAAACCCATAAATATATGATAAAATAGTTATGAATAACATAGTGTCTAAATTATTGTTATGTATGTAATGTCTTTATGATTATCAAAGTAAGCCCATTTTTAATAGCACATAATATCTGACAAAATATTTTAAAAATCTATTATGTAGATTTTCTGCTAGAAAACTCTAAGTCAGATTAAGATGAACTACTTTGACTTATAAAATTTGAATCTTCTTTTACTTTCATTTACCTAATATGTTACTAATAAAATAAATATTAAGATATTATATGAAATACTTTTAGATCAATATCCATTACCTTGACTTCTATAGTAACCTCCAAATATATGATTCACCACAGTGTTTTCTTTACTTGAGGAATCTAGTCTGAAACAGAGGTTTCACTTTCTTAGAATCATAATTATAATACTGTTTCAAATGAAGAAAAGCCCAAAAAATTACTAGAAATTCCATTTATGATCAAAGAAATAAACAAAAGACAAATAATAAATTATTAATGTTGATAATCTATTCATCTTTGTTCTTCACAATCCCAATAGTTTGGTTGCTAACCAAGAAAAGCATAAAAGTACATATAAATATTTTTTTTGTAATGGATCCTTTTTCATGTCCTTTTCAAGGTTCTAACAGGTGCTGAGTAGACAAGGTTGAAAATTTTTTTTTATGTTAAAAGTTTTTTCTAAATTTGGTCATAAATTTGTTTGCATGGAAAAATTGTACTTTTGGTACAAAGATGGCAGAATAGAAACCTAAATCTATGTTTTAGTGGTACTATTAGAAGAAACATGAATTTTAATGTGCAAAGTATCCAAGTAAATTACATAGTATAACGTGATAGGCACCCATACACGATATTAGAAAACACTTGCTAAGATACTATAATATCTACACTTATAAAGCAGTATTGTTTGTGACATGCTCCCTACAGTGAAAATAGTGGAATGAAGAGAAAAACAGTCTATCTTGATCTGGAGTGCTATGTCAGGGATATTTTTTGCTTTTTTATCAGAAAAAAAAAAAATTCTAAAGTTCAGAAAAATTGACTAAAATTCTCCAAACTGTAAGACAAAGACATGTAATTGCTTTAAAATCCATGTTCCAGATTGCAATATATAATTACTTCACTCACCAGAAGACAGTTGCAATGGAATGTTTTTTGCCATGTTAAAATGGAATCAAAAGCACAGAGTAGGAAGTAAATAAGGTAATATTTCAAGCAAAGAGTTTGAAAAAAGGATGCCTTTTATCGGGGAAAGGGGAAATAAGAGATGCCAACAAGATTAATTAACTTTAACTGCTGGTCATAGCAAGCAAGCAAGCTACCTACATAGATCAGAAATTAAAATATACCCAGTAAAAAGCTTGCTTAGTAAATACACTTTTATCCAACTCTGCGTCGCTTTGCTCAGCAGAGCTGACTATAAAAATTGGGGTACAGGCATTCTTCACATATGTGATATACACATTAAGCCATGCAGGTGTAATAAATATCCAATATCAAGGAACACTTTCTGTCTTTCTGTGGATGCATCTCCTCCTAAATGAGTTGAATGACCTAGACCAAATTTAGCAAGCAAAATTAGTATTCCAAAATCAAACCAAATTCATATTACACTTTCCCATATATATAAAAATAAAAAGATTTTACAGAATAGTCCCTATATTGTTACTGCAGTACATATTGTAAATAGTTGAGTTTGAACAAAACTCATACCACAAAAAAATTCTAAGATTGTAAATAAAATTTTCAACATTTTGGCTCATTTTCCATAATAACCAACATATACAGTAAATATCAAGCTACAATGTGGAGAATAAAAATATTGCTGCTGTTTAAGTTTCCCGCTCTTTTCTGATTCACACCATTTAACTTCTGGATTATACTAGGGTTAGAACAAGTGCTTAATCCTGAAAATACTTACCAGAATATTTCTTACTTTTTGATGTAGAATATAGTTTTCCATAGAAGCAAAATTTAAGATTATTATTACATTTAATGCATTAAATGTACCAACTTTAAACAACAGAAATCTTGCCCACATCTATAGTGTGAAATGGGCTGCTTTGAACAAAAAGTGATGCAACAGCTTTGCCATTTCTGCCAAGTTTCTTGACTAAACTGCTACACTTCCTCACTTCAGATCCACTTCCCCTGTATTACAACAATTTTCTTGAAGAATGAACAATAATGAAAATCTTTGCAGAGATTTTGCTCATTTTTAGCAAATTTGTGGATGTTTTTCATAGTTTAAAGAGAAAAAAATATGGAAGAGTGCAGTCTACTTAAATTAAACTGCAAAACTTTTAAGGTAAAAAATTTAAAGTGCATCACAGGAACTTCAAAAAGAAAGCCCATTATGAACTGAGAGTCCACTTTTACTTGTAGAATTTCATTGGATCTGTCTAGCTTTCATCAAGAGCAGAGCTGGGTATGTAATTTGGTGCTCAAAACATTATTCAAGTTGCACATCTAATTAATCAGTTTGATACCCTCACTATCAATGATATTTTTGGCTTTAAATCAAATAATATCTGAGAGGTTCAGCACAAGCCCAGGAGGCTTAGGTTAGTCCTAAATCTACATACTAAATTAGCAATGCAGAACAATCATTATAATAAAATAATAAACATGAAAATACAATTAGAAATAATATAAAATAAAACTAGATATACTTAATATTCTAACCAACACTGTGTCTGCACCATGATAAAAGTTTAACTTTTTTAGATCGATGTCAAAGTAAGGACTACCACAAGTGGTAAACTGAAAGAGAAGGCTGTCAGGATCACATCTCTACTGTAAAATTGGCTACTTTGAACAAGAAGTAATGCAACTGAACACTACTGAAAATCCTAGCAGAGAATTTGCTCATTTTTAGCAAATTTGTTTGTGTTTTCCACAAAATGCTTCTGCAACTCACTAAATAGATCAAGTGATTATCACATATCAGACCAATGTCTGTCTTATTAGCATCTATCTCTCAGTAACTTAGAAAGTAAGATTGCAATGCTTATTAAATTTTCTACTCTTTTTCTTATTCACACCATTTAACTTTTGGTTTATACTAGGGTTAGAATAAGCTCTTAAGCCTGAATTAGAGAAGTATTTTATAATTAAAATACTTTTTGGATGTTTCTTACATCTTGATGTAGAATATAGTTTTCTGTAGAAGCAAAATTCAAGATGTTCATTAAATTTAATGCAATTAATTCACCAAATTCAGATAGTAGAAATCTTCACCGCATCTCTACTAAGATAATGACAGTAACCTTGTCAAAATAATGGACATATTTTTCTTAATATCATATATAGTTATGTAAGAATATGTGAGTGTGTTGGGCTAAGGATTCTTCTACAGTAGGTTTCTGTGACTTGTTGGTAATAAATTCAAAAATAAATGAACAGCATGCATAATACTTGTTTTCAAAATAATATATATATCCGAACTAGTTAAACGTATGTAAAACAAATTCTTTACACTATAGAGATCATAGACATATCATAAACACTATATATAGTGTTCTTCTTCTTGTCAAAAGTCCACTTAGATCTATTCAACTACTTTAGAATTTCAGTTGACATGCTGACCTTCCTCTCTCTATTTCTATCACACTAGTATTCCATGTATAATTCACTTACAATTATAGCATGAGTTACCACAGTCATATACTGCTCTTCCAGTAATCGTCTGAACCTCATACTTCAAAAATTGCCTTTACCTTTTGTCAAAGCACACTCACGCTAGTTCAATTAGTTTAGGACTTGCTTTGATGGAATAAACTATACTTCTTATCTCTCTTAAAACTGTTAGTTTTACTCTAATATATTAATCGTTAGGCCTATATTAACAGTTAGACCTTTCACTCCTATGGCAGTTAACTTTACGTTTAACTTTTCTTTGGCCGAACTTCTACTTCCCGTGACTTTACTTTCTCGTCTGCTCTGTCTGTTTGCTGTTCCCGCTCATCTCATACTATTTATTCATTTATCACTTAATCATCTGCTTGCTTTCTAGAAATCTCTACATCCTCAACATCAATAAATTTCATGTGACGTTCGATAGCCTCAACATCAATGAATTATAAGCACAACTTCCAATAATCATCTGCTTTTAACTCTCTTACTATAAAAACTAAAAAATCATGAACTATTAACTCACAAAATAATTAATTAATACAACCTATGCTAAACAGTCTTTTATATCTGACAAGCCCACTATGTACATATGCTCATTAACCATGTGACCACAGTGACATACAAGAGAGGTTCACGCTGCAGTATACCCTACCCAAGTTACATCTGCATGCAGATATGGAAGCCATCTTTAACTTGGACTAGATACACAGAGCTATAAATATATCTAAAGATGTAGCCCCGGGTTTAGATGATGTAACACACAATTTCTACCTTTAAGAAGCACTACAGAAGCCAACCCATGGAAGTTAGTTTCGGAGTGTTAACATATATGGTAACAGGTAGTATCCCTTAAATATGGACTGTTGCCTTTATCAAATCCTTACCAAACTCATGAAGGATCACAATGGAATGTTTAACTAATGAGAACTGTGTGCACTGAAGCGTTGAAAATGAGAAATTACCAAAGAAGTCATGTCTGTATGCTCAGAATATGAGAAATTGTAACTGAAGAAAACATGTAAAGCTTTTATGGTGATAAACATCAAATTATTTTAAAAGCTTTCATAGTGGCGTAGACACACCTAGTACTACAGCTGACAATGGCGAAGGGCAGGAATATGAAGGTGTGTAACCATTTGTTTTGGCTTTTTCTCAGTTAAAATTCCATTATTAATATTGTGTATAAATGAAAATTAAAGATGCAACTGAAAATAACGCTGAATATGCAGTCAAGTACATAATACTTTAATAGGTTATAAAGGTACACAATATGACATATTTGTATCTAGCTTTACTTCAAGTATTAAAATATAGCAAAACTTTACATTTCAACTTCTAAACTTACTTGTTATCCACAGATAATCAGGCAGAGCTCAGTAGACTAAACATGATTTCAATCCAAAACATTACTACCTAAAAATCAATAGCAATAATCTAACTGACAAGATATCTGAAAGGAAAATGCACAAATAACTGTGAATTATTATTTTAGTATGTAAGTGGAGAGAAATTGTAACTTGAACCTTGTGTAAAAAGATGTACGTGTGGAATAAATACCACAAGAACTACATTCTTTAATCATGTTGCATTTCTATTATCATGCCAAAGTCTGTGAGGAAATAAGAAGGGAATCATTTCTAATAGTTACTTCCCCCACTAGAATAATTACAAACAGCCCTGTTAAGAAGCATGATTAAATTTAAATACTTTTAAAACAATTTCAAAACACTCACTTGACATTGCCATCAATATTAAAAAGAGAAGCTCTCCAAAGATTATCTACAACATAGCATAAGAACTCATGGGCGTCTTCTTGTCGTCCAAACTGAAAATGTTTGGCTATAGACTTCAGCTTCTGGTATATGTACAAAGGCTTCACTACTTCTCCAGGTCGGTCTAGTGTCCATGCCATATGCTTCTGCAGCTCACACATCATACAGAAACCCACAATTTTACCTGAAAAATTATAATTCCTAAATAGTGAGGATACCAGCCATAATCTTCATCCCAATATGAAAAAAAATGTACAATTGAATAAAACTACTTACTATAATATCATTATTAACCCAAGATGTCATAGTATTTATAGGTTTGTAGAATCAAAGCTCAATATAGGTTTTCAGCTCTCTAAATTATTTTCTTTCTTTTGTAAATTTCTTTCTTTCATGCTTCAGATGGGACAGAATAATTGCATGTATTTAATACCATTAGAAATCACTACAAAGAAATGCTGTTTCTACTAATATGAGTTTCTATTTTTGATTCCTTTATGAAAATGATGGGCATGTGACACACTTATTTGTAATAATCTGTTACTCAAAGAATATTCAAACAAACATGTTACATTTTAACAAAGAATATAAAAAATAAACAGTTTATTTAGTCATGTACATCAAATGTACCTGTGTATGTTACGTACAGTTACTTAATATATTCTGTTTTCACTCCAGATACTGCACAAATCAAAGAACAGGTATAAATGAAGATAACATTGCTCCATTGTATGTTGTTTGAACAGGAAGGTAACTATTATGTGCTGAGACACAGACATGAAAATCTGATGCACGTCTAGAACACAATGAGCTATTACAGTAATGTCTTGGATAAAACTTTAAGAAACACTTTATCTTCAATTTACTTTTTTTTTTGTTTTGCTCAGATAAAAATCTAAGAAACACTTTATCTTCAATTTTTCATAGCTAAGCTCTCACAATTTTGTTATTATTTGTTATTATAAGGCCCAATTAGTATTTTCTTAACAAGTCACAAATACTCTAATTCATTTCAGGTTATTTAGAGCAAAAAATAGTCAACTTTAATCAATTTACTTTGACTGTGCATTTTTATACAAAATTATTAACACCAAATTAGGCTTCATTTGCTTGTCATGTTGCTATAGTGTCAAGCTGATAATATGTAATAGGACTATTCATTAACTAGATTATTTATAAGAAGACCTGGGTTGTATAGAAAAAGTTTATTAATTGAACCAAGGAAAGTTTCACCATTAAGAATTCATCTGAGTTTTTATAAGCAGATCATTATGATAAATTATTTTAAATTATAAATTAGTGTTCTATTTCATATGAAATCAGGGAAATGGATAAAACAGAATATACCTGAGAAATCATGTCTAAATAAAACCGTATTTCGACACGAACAGGTTTGGCATGTTCAAGAGGAATAGGGGCAACATCAGGAGAAGCAGGTTGACTCACATAATGATAAATCTCATGGCAGATGAGAACTAATAAGTCCATAGATGAGTTACTCCCACCTGTAGCCTGTGTGAGTGTGCTAGTAGAAGGCATGACCTCCAAAGTGGTAAACTGTACTTTGGAATTCATTGTGTAACAATCAATAATCAAATACAACCATTTGATGAAAACAATTGAAAACTGGGAAAAATAAGTCATCAGAAAATTTGTTAACTGTTGAAAAAAAAACAACAACTCCACTTCGGAATTAATATAGAAAAAGCACTAAACTGAATGAAAAAATAAGATTGAAGAGCACAAGAAAAAAACGTCTTGACATAAGTACTGCCAAATGGGAAGTGATAGTTTGGTAGAATCGAATAGAGGGAGTCACATGCATCAGGAAAGTGTCACACTCCTATTGATGGAGGGTTGTTGCATGATGGTTTACATGTGAGACACAGTTGAACCATTTGATTGCAAGGTACATGGGAGCTGAAGGCTTGTGGCATGCAAAAAAACTGTTTGCATATAGGGAGCAGCACTGAATGAGAATAACTATTTATGTGAGAAGAGGTAATGTACCATATCGGCAGATTGAAGATTCCTACCTCAGCTGTCTGGCAGCATTCCTAGGTATCTAGCAATAAGACACTTCAATGCCATATATCTCACTTGGGATATAGGTGGAAAAACTAATGGCAAAGGTTAACATTCTGCTTTCCACAGTGTAGCCACCAACCTTACACTGCTAAAGAATGACAAACCAGCAAGAACCACTGAATGCCAGAATGGAAGACTGTGCTTTTGTTAAGTCTACCTTAAATGTCATCGCTGCCTAGCACTGCACATAATGTCTGCAGTGAATACCTTATGTGTTAGGTGTGCATGAAGACTGGTATGAAACAATTTACAAACTCTTACATGACTGTAGAAGTAAATTTGTTGAAGTTAGTGTTGGAGTTTCAACACAGTTGGGCAACAGATAACATTCCTAAAATTGGAACTGATACCTTTATCAAATCCTTACACAAACCCATGAAGAATCACTATTATCTTAAAGACATCTTGCAAAACATTAATGACAAGATCCCAGAGTATGCTGTAGCTAGAAGGCTTGCCTGACAGATTGAACCACTACCACCCTATTTATTATATAGGTTTCACAGTGAGAGAAAAACCTGGATCAATGCTGCTAAATTTGAAGTTAGTCCAATAGATAGTCAGTACAGCTGGGCAGATGCTCATTCTTTCTGACAGAATGCTTGAAATAGGTATCAGTGTGGCATGTGTTTGATGGGTTATAACAAAATTAACTACCATAAGATGGGTCATGAAGTATGAAAGCTGGTAATTAGTTTGGGTCAAGAATGGTCTTCCTCAAGGTTCACCACTCTTACCAATCTTCTTCAACATCTACAGTATGGATCTAGCCCACCTTAATAGTCCAACCTCGTGTCATGTACTAACCTTTGCTGACGATATTCTGCTGTTCAGCAAAGCTGAAATCAAAAGTAAGATTCACCCATCCTTTAGCAGAGTGATCAAATGATGCAATGACTCAGAAACAATTCTTAATACTCTCAAAGCCACACACTCAACAGGCATGCTAAAGAGAAAAAGCCATCACCAACCTTTCTGGATACTGATATCCCTCTGGAAAAACACTGAAGTATCTGGGGATGATCTCAATTAGACAATTCAACTTCAACAACCAAATTAACACCAGAAATACAAAAAGCATTAATTTGGGGGCAATCATAGTTACACAATTCAATTTCATCAACCATATTAACACCAGAACTACAAAAAGCATTAATGCACTAAAAGTTGCAGCAGGAAATAAAACTTAAAAGTGTCATTTGCTTATGCATTACCAAAGTATTATCTGATCCATCCTAAATTAAGTGCTATTGATGATCAGTATGAGTGCTACAAAGTTTGATAAAAATAAAAAGCTACAAAACACATGTTTAAGACTATTCATGGGATGTACATCAAAGCCATAATAAATCCTACTGGCCTCAACAACATAGCAGAACAACAGTATTTACAAGCAAATATCTATACTAGGGTCTTCAGTGCAAAGATAATGTATTGTACAATCAAGCCACTGTCCTTTTCAATGTAGAAATTCTAGTTTCAAAATTACTATGAAAATACCAGCGAAGCAGGGAATTGCCTAAAAGGCACCTGAAGAAACATTTATGGGTGCAGAAGTGCTATACAACCTACACTGAGATTATTCATCACCACCAGATCTCAGATTTCTCCATGTTGAATAAAAATCTAATGCCACTGAGATTTTTGGAAATCAGCCTTGACAGAAAATGTAGAAATTGGGCAGAGGGTGAAAATGAAAAAGCCCTTCAGCATTTACTTAAAGACCATGGTGGGCGATCACCTGTCATCATATCCACAGATGCTTTCTACATGAAAGACAGTGAAAGAGCAATAGATGGGAATTCACTATCTTACAGAGCAAAAAAAAAGCATTCTCTATATGGCTGGTGAAGACTCCTCAAACTGGACTACTCCCAGAGCATACGTGTGTGGACCTGGAGACTAAAAGGAAGGACTTGACATGGGAAGAGGCAAACAGGAGCCACTCATCTATGAAAAGGGGAGTCCACAGACTCAATGAGTGACTATGACAGGCAAAATATCATACCACTTGACAAAACACATGGAGCTTAAAAAATGACCACACAACAGCACCCAGAAGTGAAAGACACAACCTTCATGGATGAACTGAAGAAAATGAAGAGACACTGAAGCAGAAGGAATATGAAGAGAAGCATCCATTACAATGATTTGGTCAACCAGAGTCCCAGGTAAAACCCCAAAGAGAGAGGTAGGATTCCATGGTGAATAGAGGTGGCTCCAGCTAAGAGTTCAACCATTACAGGTCTAAGTCAGGTCTCCAATTTCTCGGCTTACGAGGGATAACAATTAGACAGGAGTAAAACCCTTGTTGAGTGGGTACCAACTATTTGACAACCCCTGTGTGTTGTAGGGCTGGAACAGACAAGGCAAGATGACCATGAGAGGTACAATCCCAAGAAGGAGGGAAGGAGAAAAGGTAAGTGGATAGGAGGAGTGGAACTGAAGGCAGAAACCTTCAGGCAGAACCAGTACATCCCATGGAATGGTGTATGAAGTGTAGCCAAAAATATACATAAAGTAAACATACTGAGAGAAAGTATACATTACTAACAAAACCTAGAAATTGGTAGAGTCTACCAAGAGACAGAAAACAATAAGCAATGCCTAAGGTAGAAAACCATAAAAGGAGCTTAGAAAATAAATACACTTAAATATCAAACTTAGAAGTCCACTAAAAGAACTGATAAGACAAAAGACATGAAAGAAAAACCTATCCCGAATAACATGAGAATGAAAAGGACCACTGATAAAGATTTTTTACTAGTAGTAAAGACAAAACAAACATACATACTAACTAACATAAACAGATAAGGGAAGTATAAATATCGAACCAAAACACCCACAAATGTAGCAAAGGTTACAATTACCTAAAGAGTAACCAATGTGCAAAACCTGCACTTATACCAAAAATTAAACAAAAACAAGGAATAATCAAACTCCAATTGTAAAGATAAACTAAAGTAACATAGATGATAACAGAATTATAAAAATCTAACTCACCAAATACTGAGCCGAGAAAACATGAAAGACCTAAATTATCACACAAGGAAAATAGGCTTAAACAGCAAAACATGGGAATACCTACTGGTAGTGAGGAAGACATCTACAAAAACTTACCACAAACCTCCTGGGAAAAAGAACAATACCTAACCCAGGATATTACATGGAGGCACAGTAAGAGGTGGAAGGTGCCATATAAGGAATTTTCCACTCGGTAGGTATAAAATTCCTCAGAAAAAAATCTTGAAAGGAAGAAATCGTTGGCTAGACGTAAGACAAGAACTCCCCACAAACTGCAACTTGAACTTCCCTAGCAGACATTGTCGACCCCGAGCTTGGAGAGTCCTCAAGAGAGAGCACTCCTAATGGAAAACCTGGGGATGAAAAGATTATTGCTTGGGCAGACCACGGTCTGAACAAGAGAAGCAATCTGCAACCAGGTTCATAGAACCAGGTACATAGCAGGCAATGACATGAACCTGTTGAGACTTAGCCCAATAAGAAAAGTCCAAGGTTTGATAGCAAGGGGTCCTGGATCAGGTTCCCCCTTGGCAGATGATTTAAGAAAAACCAAGAAGTTCTTGGAATGGATCATAATAAAATGATGCACTAGGAGGGATAAGGAATGAGAGCATGTCCAACAGACTATTGGATGTTCGAGTGCATTGATATGGAAAGAGAACTCATTCTAGTTCCATGGCCCAGATGTGAAAATGTCCATTTGTAGAAAAAAGGAAGGAAATTAAGTTCCTTAAGCATCACCAATCTTATGATATTGGAAAAGAAAAACATATCTGATGTGTTCAGTGCCAAAGAAAAGAATTAATATTCATGAGTGCAAAAGCACAGAAGGAGTTAGTGTGCAGGGAGGTGTGTTGCCCTTCTATTGGTGGAGGGATTTTGCTGCATAATAACCTCATTATGCTGTATCGCAATTCATGAGAAATCTATGAGATTAGATGGGAGTTACCTAAAGATTAGTGGTGTGCAAATCTCTAAGACAGATAGATTCACAGGGAAGATTGCTTAATTGTGTGAAGAAATGTGTGTATTGTCTCTGAAGTACATGCATTGTCGTTTACTAATATATAAGTGACAAAAATTGATCAGCATTAGCTCACATGATATTTCTGGACCCTTATCAGATAAGAATAAGAGATTTACCACTCATAAAGATCAAACCAATAAAGTATCTTTATTACAAAATTAAAATCACTAATTTGTTAATGGTTAAGACTTTCTTCTAAATTGTCATTATCTTGACATAGATGTGCAGCCAATTAAAATAAAGGAAAGAAATGCAAGATATTAAAAATGGTATCCTTGAATAAAATAAAAAAATATTCTACTCACATACATGTTAGCAAAAAAAACTTTTACTATTTTTTATGTGTTATTCAATCAGTCCTTCATTAGAGTAAGCTGTTAAGTGACTTATTGGTCGTAAAAGTGTCTGGAATATTTTCTAATTTGACATTATTGCCTATTAACAATCCAAATAATCAAAATTAATATTAATTAACTACTGAAATAATTATGAGTGTAATAACTGAAATTTTACATGCAACTTAGTTGTAGGACAGTTTACATTAACTTTTTATACTATTTTTGGTAAATTCCTTGACATTTTTTTGAAAACCTTTAAAGGTCAGGATTATCTTCCAATACATTTAGCATTCCTGTTTAAAACAATTTTTGTCAAAGTTAGTACTTCTGACAAAGAAAGTTCTTTTCTAGTGGGTAAAAACCCTGTCAAATATTTTATACAGAAAAATAATAATAACTAGAGCACCCACTGTTTTTGTAGAAGAACAATTAAAATAAAAGACTATCTTTGTCTTAACAACTGGTAATGTGTTTACAATCTTCAATTTCGTAGTTATGAAAATTAATGCATATTTCTCAATCAGTATGATTATAATTAATAAAGATCCCACACAGTTTATATGACAGACAGGTAAAGTGAGTAGTTTATAAATAGTGGAGTTTACACACAGTGTAACATATATATATTGGAAATAATAACATCAAGTTTATGAAAAGTGGTGGTGTGTCAGATCATAATTATATGCAAGTCTCCATGGGATCACATACCAGCTGCCACACTTTGTGATAAGCATGAAATTATTCACATCCAAATTTTAATTTGCCCCATGCAAGAGATGATACTGACTTTCTAGCTCTAAAAGCACACAAACTACTTAAAACACACATTCCAGAAAAAAAAAGAGTGAATTACAAAGTTGTTATATTAAGTTTGGCAACTACAAAAGGCAGAAAATGCTTGGTTTATTTGTGCATGAACGTATAAAAAAAAAGTTTTTTTATATATTGTATGTATGTACAGGGAGCCTCATAGGTGTGTCTGTTTATTTGTAGTTATGCATTAAAATACATAATGGGCTATTCATTATGTGCCCACCATGGGTATCGAAACCCAATTTTTAGCATTATAAGTTTGAAGACTACAACTGTGCTAATCGGAGGGTTAGCCTCATAGGACTGGCAAAAGTTAAGTGTTTTAAATATAAAGAAATCAACCAGGATGTGGAAATCTGATAAAAATGTAACATAATTCAATTACAGTTCAGTTACTGGCTTGTTTTGTATCTATATATACTTAGAAGGTATTAATCTGTAAATACTTCTAGTAACATAACACTCTTGTGATATTTCCATTATTTTTATTTTAAAATTTACTTAACAATTACAATATTTTGTTCCATGTTAAAATGCTTGAAAAAATTTCCATTTTACTCATACATACTATAAGGATTGAGTTTTGGTTTAGTTAATATAAACAATCTCCTCCCAAGAAAAAGTCAGTTCATCAATCTACAGATATACAGAATCATAATTGTTTAAAACCATCAACCTAATAGGAAAAGCCCAATCATCATTATGTGATCAACTTACATTCTGAAACATGATCATTATCATGGAGTAAGTAATTGGCCAGAGGGGGGCAGTAGGTCAGACACTGGATGACTGTGTTCATGAAACAAGTATTCCCCAAGTTCACCAATCCAGCACCAATCTTGTGTGTCTTCTTCCATTCCAGATGGATTTCCTTCTGAGAATAAAGTTGAATTTGTGGAGAAGGGATTCCATCTTGAGGTAGATAAATTTTGCTCCCATCCATCATATTCAGGTGTCTCACTATAAAATAAGTTGTTATAAAGCTTTAGGTTAATCTACTTTTAAAAAAGTTCATTACTGATTCATCAATTCCAGAAGTCTGTCTGAGAACATGTCTTTGTTTATAACGGAAAATCATTGGAAATTCTTTATGTAGTTCCTAGTTCATGTGTACAATTAAAATGTACACATGCTGAAGCTACTAGAATATATTTTTCTATTTATTAGATTAAGTACACACTATATTTAAATTATTGATAATTTTAACAATATTCTAATAAAAAAAGAAATTTTATGGAATATAAATAAATTAAAAGTAGTATCACATATTATCAATAAATTAAATTCCATTACAGTTAGTCTTCTTTCGATTATGTGTTCACAAGTAACATTAGTATGGTGATTAACAAAGATTTACAACTGCTAATGAATAAAAATCCAAGATTCCTAGAATGTTCAAAAGTTAAGTGGAAATGCACAAAAAAAAGTAATTATCACATTACTGAGTGAAATTTTACATAAATGAAATAAAAAAGAAAGCAAAAAGAGATTCTATTCAGGAACTGGGCAAATAAACACATTATATTTTTAAAAAATTCACTATTAAGAACAGTAATCATGTCACAAGAAAGTATCAAGTTACTGATCATTTAGATTATTTACATAATAGATATGTCATCACTCTTGCAGATAAAGAAGTTAACAACATTGTTTCACTTGAAAAAGTGTTATATTATATCTTATTGTAGAGAACTAAGACTTAGTTTGCATATATTAAAATCTTCAGGTAACAAAGTTCACAGAAAAATTAAAATCAATAAAGTATCACAAATAAACACATTTCAGTTTTATCAAACTTTGGTACACATTTGGCACATATAATACTTAAATTACTTTGGATTCCCAAATTATATAAAATACTGTACAAATACAAATTTATTGCCAGTGCTAAAAATGCTATGACCAAGGAATTGTCAATTATGATAGGTAATGGTCTGAAATATATTAAAGATAATTTAAAGAAATACGACAGTGTTATCAAAGAAAGAACAAGTATTAATCCAAGTATTATCTCTGGTAATTCTATTGAATGTAAAGATAGAATTAATGGCTTTGAAGCTATAACAGTAAACACATTTGATTTCAGTAATCTTTACACTAGTTTACCATTTGACAAAATAAAAAAAAAAGTCTTTCATCTACAATGTCAAGGTCATTTAATAACTTGAGTACATTACATCTCTGCATCAATAAACACAGAACTTTCTACGAAAATGTCCCTCACAAAAATTACCACTGTTATACATTAAATTAATTCTTGCAGGCCGCAATTTTTTTACTTGATAATACATTTGTGCATTCTGACCAACATGTCTACAAACAAATACAGGGAATTCCAATTGGAGGTAACCATACACTAGAAATTGCAGATCTGTATTTAATTATAATATTAATGCATTACTAACTTTACTAGGATAGACTACATTATAGCTATGCATCAGTCACACTTGCAGACATATAGATGACCTTTAGTACAATAACAGAGTTAAGATTCATTTTGGACTTTAACCATGTTTTTGTAGAGATTCTGTAATTTTAACTTCTTGTGAGAACTCTTTATAGTTCTCATTATTGATTGCCAGTAACAGATTTCTGTATTTTTGTGTAGTTTTAAATTCCAAGAACTCTTCAAATTCTCTTGTAACTTTAAAATTAGCTTTTGCCTATAATTTAGTTAAGTATTTGTTTAAGTTATCTGGTGAGCAATTAGTGAATAACTTGCCTCATAGGACAATGGAGCACAGGTTTTTATTTATAGTATGGGTTATTACTGTTATTTAGTAAGATTAAAGCAAGAATTAACTTTTTTGTGTTACATTTTAACTTTAGGACACACTGTTTGTAAACGCTAGCCTCAGTTACTTGAGGGAACACAAGCACTAATAGGAGCATTATATCTAATAAAGTCTTCATCATTCTTGCTAATCACACACCTTGTTTTTTGATACACATAAACACATAGTCATTTGCTTTATATTGTAAAATAGTGCTTTGTTATTTCTGTACACTGTAAAGATCTCAATTAAAGATTGGTTCCTTGTGTAAATGTGTGTGTACTGTCTCACTCTTTTTAGCCCAACCATCTCACCCATTATTAAACACACACACACACATATCAGAGATATGCAAATCTCATGTCTTTGCAGGCCCAGACTTCTCTGCTTTTCCAGAAATCCTTGAGATACCACAATGTGTATATTTACATGAGCATGGAAATTTTAAAATTGGCGCCTACTTTAAGTAAAGTGGCCATACAAGAAAAAAAACAGAAAAACACCCAAGTATAAATACAAGAAACTAAGGGATGCTTTGAGGCACATTTAAGAAGTTCTTACTGACCATGCATGAAGTATACTTTTCTAAATGCTTCTAGAAATAACACAGTGACAGAAGAAGCAAGAAATAGTATGTACAAAACTTGTGTAAGTCAACAATTTTCACAAATTGTCATAGTTTTATACTATATTATTTATAACCATTGGAAAGCCAAAGTTTTAATCTAGCAAATGACATATCATATAATATCATTTTCTGTACAGAGAATTGTGTATTTCACTTCCAGTTCAAACTTTATTCCCATGGGAAGTACATCGACAAGTTTAGCTAAATGCTTAATGGCTCTTATTGCATAATTATAAATCCAGAAAAATTATGATAATTATAGGACACTGTCTGCTTTTTCACATGTTATCATTCTAAGTTCATAGATGCAGTACTTATTTAAGTGAAAATTATTTAGTGTGGTAGTACCATTAGTATAAAAAAGTAGGTTTAAGTTTCCTCGACAGCAAAAAAAAAAGAAGATCCAAGTAAGTACAATATTTCTTGTTTTTCATGTGTATTCTATATTTATTATTATAAAAGTAACTAAAATGTGAAAATTAGAAACTTGTCAGGTGATAAGATTTGATTATGTAAGATAAAGAAAAATAATAATAAAATTCTTCACGAGGTATGTTTGCGAGTAGCTCATGTATTATGTAATTCGTGAGCTACACATTGTCAAGTGATTTACAGCTTGTGTGGCAGGATTATTAGTTATACACAGTTCAAAAGGCAATAAAACAAATAAATTAAGTATAAATAGATGTATATTGTTACAATCTTTAACCTGTTTAGGATAAACAATTGTGGTTTCCTGTTACAATTTGCAGTCATTCGAAAAATAATAAAAAGAGTAACCTAGAATAATTACCTAATTTTCTTATGATGGTTACTAGGTTAGTGAAATTGATCAACCATGTATAGAGTTATAGTATAGAAAATAAAAGACAAAAAAATATAAAGCCTCTCTGAAAAAAAACAAAAAACATTAGATATTTATTTAGGAGGTTGTAAGGATTATGCAATTGAAATTTGATCATTTTCAGATGAAGAAAAGTATTTCTAATCTTAACATTAAAATCACTTTGAACTTGGAGCAGTCAATACTCTGACACAATATAATTACAGACAATGTTTTAGTAAAAATACTTCATTGAAAATTATGATGTTTCATTTACAAAAAACATTTAATGTTTACTAAAAGTGCCAAATTTCATGAAGATACCTTAAGTACATTCAAAGTCATAGTATGTATACCACCATGGTACATGGTGGTTAGAAGGTTGCATAAAATACACGAGCCTGTTGTGATAGGGTTAACTGTGAGCATGTTCCGAAAAAATTGAGAATATTAAAAAATGATACAGCTCCTGGGCGAGATAATATTTACCCAAGGATTTTGAAAGAGGTTAAGGATTGGATATGTGAATTACTTTCTACTATCTTTTCTATGTCCTTGAACAGTGAGCAGGTGCAAGAAGACTGGAAGTTGGCTAATGTTACACCTCTTTTTCAGGGAGATGACAAAAATTGTCCCAGTGATCATAGGCCTATTAGTCTTACATCAGTGGTGGAAAAAGGTTTTGAATGTCTAATAAAAGATGCTTTGCAAAGTCACTTAGCAAAGTTTAAAATTTTGTTGAATAGTCATGTATGAAGTTTGAACTGCAAATAAGATTGTGTAATATATTATGTAACACATTTGATTTCTTACCTTGTATACAAAATTTAATTTTTAAAAAAGTTTGTTTTCCAATATCTAATTGTAAAATGAACAGCAGTCCTTCAAAGAGCACTGCATTACAGCCACTCAATTTTTGTCAGATGTACTTATAGGATAAAATTAATGGAAGCCCATTTCCTAGACACAACAACTAATGTGAAACATGTACTGTAAACTGTAGTGAAGTGAAAGTTAATGCATTTTGAGAATGAATGAAAAATAAGTAATGAATTACATACATGGGTAAACAAATATGCTTTTCATCATATTTGCTTTTGACCACACTCTCAAATGAAGTGATCCTAATCCAATAAATGGTTAGGAAATATATGTAATTCTAAATGGTCATTTTTAATTGGTTTTACCCACAGTGAACATTCTCTCGATGTGTGAACAAGGTTTAGGTTACTTTCACTACAGACTTGACCTTTGCTCTTTTAGCTACATCAAACGTTTAATCATTTACTTCTTTCACTTACCTCAGTTTCTCATCTGTAGACCTCCTGTTCCTAGCATAACTATCAGAGAAACTCAGTTTCTCACCTGCAGATCTTTGGTAGTTATGCTAGGAACAGAGGGAAACTGAGAGTTACTTTGGTAGTTATGCTAGGAACAGGATAGTCTGCAGATGAGAGTCTGCAGATGAGAAACTGAGAGTTTCTGTTCCTAGCATAACTAGCATAGCTACCAAAGAAACTCTCAGTTTCTCACCTGCAGACCCTCTGTTCCCAGCATAACTACCAAAGAAACACTCAGTTTCTCATCTGCAGACCTCCTGTTCCTAGCATAACTATTAGAGAAACTCTCAGTTTCTCATTAGCAGAATTTTTTTGTCCCCAGCACAACTACCTGAAAAACTCACTGTTTCTCACCTGCAGACCCTCTGTTCCTATCATAACTGGAAGAGGAATAAACAATAAATGCAGGAAAATGTAAAATCAACACTGATTTTTTCCCCATCTACCAGATATTAGAATTGTATAAGCAATATATTAGAAGATAAGGTGATAGTTGTTATCTAAAAGTCATGAGTAAGCAATAGCAGAAAATCTAAGTAAGAGTAAAATTACTACACCAAGTAAAATCAATCTGATTAAAAGAACACTATTACTAGAGATGGATATCTTACCCGAGATTCTGCAAGTCTTACCACATCTTTCTCTGTAGGCTAGTGAAGATGTGGCAGTAAGGGAATGAGAAAAACAATAGCTAATGCTTGTTCCCCCAAAACTTTTACCAACAATCCATCAGCCTACAATGCAACCTCATGGTCAACACTGAGGAAATGGCAGCAATTTATGAAGAACAAACTGACATCAGGAAATCATGGCAGCCAGCAACAGCTGGAAGACAAGGTATTGATATCTAGCTGGATGGTTTCATCAAACTTACTAACCAGAACCTCTGTTTCCTTTTAGGTAATAGCCCGATATTCATAAGAGATAAATATATGTTGCTGAATGACTTTTTTTGTGAACCAATAATTTTTACCAACATGTTTTTACATAGGAAAATGAATGAAAACCAGACAGAAGAGGTAGTAATGAAAGGCCATATACACGCATAACTTCATAATTTTGTAAATCACTAAGAGAGCTATCATGAAATAACAAATAATACTGTGTAATATATTATACAACACATTTAATTTCTTACCTTGTATACTAAACTTAATTTTTAAAAAAGTTTCTTTTCCAATATCTAATTGTAAAATTAACAGCAGTCCTTCAAAGAGCACTGCATTACAGCCACTCAGTTTTTGTCAGATGTACTTAATAGGTTAAAATTAATGGAAGCCCATTTCCTAGTGACACGACAACTAATGTGAAACATATAGTGTAAACTGTAGTGAAGCAGGAGTTAAAGCATTTTGAGAATGAATGAAAATTAAGTAATAAACTATATATATATATATAAAATACAGAAATTTTTGCAGTATATTCTATGAACAGTCTAATGCTATAATACACAGACTATTTCGAATTTTCCATTAGAGAATAGCTAATACATTAATCCTCCTGAGAATCATACATGTACTGTAATCTAGCAGTTGAATCCTAATAGGTTATTCTTTCATGGATGCTGTGTTCACGATACAGAAATTCATTAAACAGAAGTAATGAATGCATACACTTCAACATTGGGTGTGGCTGTTATCAAGATAGTAGATAGACCTTATCCAATTTACCAAAAGCACAAATGATAACTGAAAAAAAACATATAATATTACTGTATAACTTAGAATTACATTTTTAGGTTACTGCAAAATCACATATAAGTGAACCACAATCATGAATTCTGTCATATCTCTAAAATCAAAATAAAAAATTATTTATAGATATCCACCATTCACTCGCAAACACTTTTATATGAGATATCTGTGTGAATTCACATATCAGAAAATTTGAAGAGATTTCATTGGGATGTGCTTTTTAAGAAAAATTAATTTTAGAATTCAAAACTAAACAAACATAAAGATGTTGTTTAAATTCTACAAGTTATCCTTTAACTCACAGAAATGGATAGCTAACAAAATTTTTTAACAAGACCAATAAAATACTCCATTCAGTTATTTCAAATAATAAGCATACAATGAAAGAAATACTATTATTAGACAAGGTATCATTTGAAATACAAATGAGCATTTAATTCATATTCTGATCATGGAGGTACTTATATTTTAAAAGAATGATAAATGAGGAAGACCAAAAGTAAAATTATGTACACATTAGATATGTAGTACTTGGAGCTTTGCTCAAGGTTTGTGACATGTGCAGAAAATTTTCATGGCAGTACATGAGATAATAGCTGTTTGTTGTGCAGTTGTGAGTAGTATTTCTGAAATAAATATATCTGCATATATAAACAAAGTCTGAGAATAATACTGTACATGTTAGTTGTCAATACAGATTAAACAGTACTACCAAAATATGTAACAGTAAGTAAATCTATGAAGACAGAAAAGTAGTTTCAGTATATAATTATGAAAGAAATATAAATAAGAAGCATAAGGCTGATTAGGATACTATATTAAAATATGTAAAACAATAACAAGAATAAGTGAGCTTATTAGAACAATACAAAATTGTATTTGGAAGAAAAGATGCTCCTAACAGTTACATAAATAAATGTGTAAAACATAAGTATGATCAATGCACGTTACATGTATATTGTGGATTGTACTCCAAAGGACCCCTCTCCTCTGTTACATGATATAGATATGTTATCTATGCAAGAAATACTATTATTAGACAAGAAGTATAAGACAGCACTTGAAATACAAATGAGCATTTAATTCAAGTAGCAGAAAATAAAAAAAATAAAAAGGGCTTGGAGATAAAACCTACTGTTACAAAAAGAAAATACATAGAAACTTGCTGAAAGTTGGAAAGGTCCTTTGGAATAGTAAAATGAACCAATCTTGTAAATTTAAAGGTACAAAAAATGTATGATGAAATAAATCAAGTTTCAGACATCCAGTTAGAGGAGACTACAAAAGCACTACTTCAATGAGTATGAATAATTATTGGAAACACAGATTCAACCAAACAAACACTCAAAAAATTTTTTTTGAGATTATGATGAGGCAGAATTACACGAAGAACACATTGAAACAGTAAATGACAAAAACACAGTCATACCTTGAGAAGTTGAAGTAATTATCCATGCAGAAAAAATAAAATAAAATACATTTCAGGTTAGCAAGCAAAGTATAGGCTGTGATGAAGAGAGCACACTACAGAGTGATGTAGTTCAGCAAAGTAGCACAGATGTTCAATTTTCAGAATCATCAGCTGTAGTAGCTTTGCCAACATGGAAATAACATGGTTCTGACTATCAGCTGCTACTTAAAGGTCCAGCAGAAAATCACACAAGGATTCAGAACACACCTATTAGGAGGTGCAGACAAATCAGATTAAAGATGTATCATAACTGCAGATGTAATTGATAAAATTCTATAAAGTAATAATTATCAAGAACATAGTTAAATTTTGTTGCAGTGCATCCAAAAATGATGAGTATTTCATATGAAATAAAGAAAAAAAATATTTGGCCAACAGGTGATAAGAAAAGAGCAGTATTCACTGGAGAAAGACATTTTTAAGGATATACCAATTACATAATATAAACAACTTATTAAAATGTTAAAACAAAAACTGGTTTATTTTATATAATCATTAAGAAGTAAAAGTCTAGATTTTAAGTGTAAAGGTAATTCTCACACATAGAAATACAATGAATGAAGGTACTAAAACAACTAATAGAAGCTTATATTAAATGGCTCAGAAGAAATATTAAGAAATAAGTGGCCTTTTTAACAGAACTAAACAACCGTGGTTCACTTTAACATACTTTTTATATGTAAAGGCACAAATTTTAAAATCAGAGATAGAGAGATTTATCTTGTAATGCATTCTGAGCCATAGACTAAAAGTTAACATATTTTCTAACACTGAAAATGTATTTCTGATAGTTACCTCCAAAGCTGTATCGACCTTGACTTGTCTTTAAGCATTGCTAAAATTTTTCAACAGTGCACCAGTCTTTTATAACCCTTCATTTTTTTTTCAGCATTGCAGCAACATATACAAATCATGTGACTATCCTCCATGAATCATACTGCACCACCTATACTAACACAGGTAGGTCCCTCTATCATTACAGCACAATCCTCACTTTTGAGAATTGGCAGATATAAGCCAGAAACACCAACAAATCAGTGAGGAAGAAGGATGGGAGGTGGGTGAGAGGAGGTAAAAACCTATCGGAAATACATTTTCAATGTTAAAAAATGTTAACTTTTGAAATGGTACTAACTCCACTCACCCAAAGCTAAAATCCTACGTTGCAAAGGTGAAGGGGCTGGTGAAGCCACAAAAGTAATCAAACAAGTGGAAAACAACCACTGTGAAAGAACAGGTGTGCCACAATTATAAAAGGAAGCACTCCTGTGGGGTATAGCACTACTTCTGGAACAGTTATGCTCTCCGCCAAGTAACGACAATTTAAGACATATAGGGTGGAACTTAATATACAGGCACCATGTCATGCAATACAGATTCTGCTCATGGACAACAGATAACCCTACATGTAAATATAAAAATTCCAACATTAAATAGGTGACTAACAAATGAAAATTATTTACAGAAATAGTTAAACATGACCCTTATAGAAAAAATGGATGACTGAAAATAAAAATAACTGATTGCCTCACAAACAGTATAAGGAATAAAATTATAGAAAAGCATCATAATCTGAAGAAATTTAAATTGACTGCTTTTATTTTCTAATTTCATAAAAGTTACATGATACTTGAATTGGGCAGAAACTGGTGTATCTAGAGCATGAGCACCTGGATCAACAGTTTACTGTTTCCCACTGCTGACAACCACCCTATACTAAAAATATGTATTTTATAATTAAAAGTTATGGTTTAAACATTAAAACTTGGCAAAGCATTAGAAGTCAATATACCTAACATTTGTGTTTAATCAGAGACAAATTAAGAGGAATTTGGAAAATGCATCTGCAGCTTATGTGATTTCTATTATATCATTACCTCCAACAAGCTATCACTTTGAGCAAAGCATTTCAACCCACACTGTGGCAAAACTGTACTGCAGAAATTGAATAATGCGAGACTAGTTGGCTGGCCCATGTGCTGGTTGCCCTGACAACCAATTAAATGAGTTAAAGCTGCAGTCTTGCTATCTCAATTTTCTAATACTTGCCTGGGTATGCCATCGAGCTTAAATGTAGAATACAAAACCAATATGCCACAAACAAGATAAAAAATAGTTAATCACAATTACTGAAATCTTTTATACTCAGAATCTTGCATTATAATGACTAAAATTCACATATATCATAGATGTATTGACAGTTGACAGTGAGAAGCTATGAATCCTCTGAAATTTGTACTAGCAACTTTTTCTTTCTAGTGGTCAAGATACAGCATAGTTGTATAGAGATAAAAAAAAGTTATAAAATGGAAAGAATGAATAAGAGAAAGAAAATACTTTTATGATACAACATTTAATTTTTATAAACCATCCAATAACTTAGACTCAAAAACAAGAAGAGCATCCAAGTATAATACAGAGGATAGATTTAAACTAAATACAGTTGTATTATAGAAGTTTGAACAAGATAAAAATAGAACCTTTTACTGCCACCTTTACATTATGTGAAATAAAGAATTAGGGCTGTATTACATAAAATGGATAAAAAATAGAAACAAGGTAGTACAGGTGTTCAAACTCTGGGATGTATTGAAACACTGTTAAAAATCTAAACTTTGAAAAGACCAAGCAATAGTTCAAAACCTTACAAGATATTCTGAATGAAGATAATCTTGTGACAAGAGTGAGAGAAACGAATGTGCATGGCAAGTATGTCTATGAGATAGGTCAGTAATGTAATAGGAATGCAGTATTTTGTAGGTTGATTTACCTTAGAGCAACAAGATAGGTTTGCAGGATAACAAAAGATTTGATCAAGTTATTTATTAAGAACTGGGAACAGGGCTTGAACCTGGAGTTTCTTTTCATTTATCAGCCTTTTCACTTACAATAATGTTTCTTGGAAAGTGCACTTTGATTAAATGATAATATGGATTATATGTAGTAGTAAATAAGTATATATATATATATATACATGAGTCTAGGTAGACTCCTATGATTTGGTTGGGTGATGAATTAACCCATTAATTGTCTGACTACAACAACACAAAACAGTATGAAGTTTCATAATCACAGTAAAAAACCTTGTGATGAGGGGTAATGGGGATGGCTTGCATTCTTGGATAGAAAATGAGTACCTCTACATCTAATGATGTAAGAAACAACAGTGGCATTGTGTAAGCACATCATGATAAGACATCCATATAGACATAACAGAAAATGGTGGCAGACTCATTGAACTGCCAACATCTTGAGGATATATGTGCAGAAACTAATCCTCTGGGGTCCAAACACCAAAAATAATGAAGATGTTCAGAATCACAGCCCACTAGAATGAAGGCATACACAAACAAGATATAAATCTTTGTGAGGTAGAAGAAGAAGGAAGTAAAATCCCTTCTCCTCTAATCCTATGGTAATATGTTGATAGATGTATCAACTTACAATGCGAATGATTTCATTTTGCTCAGCTTTGGTAGCATATGTATCATTTCTACTGACAGTTTTTAAGTTTTCTTCTAGCTGTATGTCATACTTTGTTAAGAGCTAGAAAGTTCATTGCAAGTTACAAGACCAAAAGATAGGGTAATTACTATGATCCTGCAATACTATGTCCCATTTCCAACATAACAACACAATCTTAATAATTTTCTGTAAAAGATTTGCATACTTAACATACGTGGAACTCATGCTTTTGTTTGCTAATCTTGTATGGTGCAGTTGACTTTAGAGTGGATAACCTAACCCTTAATGTTTGGGATTCTGCTTTAACCATTTAGAAACACCCCAAGCTTGTATGTCTATTAAAGAGGCCATTGTTGACTGTTCTTTACTGAAATTCAGTAATTGCATAAAGATAAAGAGATCATAATGTCTCAGTCCACTTTGCTGAAATAACAAACATTTCCTGAAGCCTCTACCTATTGCAGGACTATACACAAACTATTTGTGCTGCTCCAACCATGCCATCTGGAAGTAAAGCTTTTGTTTTTTCTCCCAGACCCTTAATAACTGTGTGAAAGAAAAGTGAATATTGGTCATTTTGTTTTACATAGTTGTCTATTTAGCTTATCTTTTCAACTGTAAGTGATTTTAGAAACACTACATCAGACAAAATGTCTCCCATTTTCACACATAACTTACAGGAAAATGATTCAAACTTTAATAAGTTTGAAAACCTGAGTACAGGTAAGCACCCACCCCCCAACTCTTCTGTATCACAGAAAAAACAAATCCCAAACTCTGTGGATTTCCTCTTAGCTTAAATGGCTTAAACTTTGAATTGTTCTAGTAGTTTCATTGTACTATTTCCAACATTCTGATATTACAATGAGAGTAATGGAACAAAAGTAAATACAGTTCATCTACTCCAACTGCTGATTCAAAAGAATAATCTGAGTATTATATCAGGCTTCAATAAAATTTTGTTATTAAATAAAAGACTTATAAATAGAACAAATAACTTTAATTGTTCTTTTCACCATAACTAAACACTCAGGAATATTATGGTTTACCAATATTAACACCAAATCTTCTCTCACATACATTGTATGAAATAATCTTTCCAAATAGCCAATAGCCCAAGTGCATAACTTTACACTACTTACTATGGAAACTATCTTCTGTGTTCTGATAAAATTACTGTAACACTAACAGTGTAACTTGTGTCCCCATTGGTTTAGGTACTACTAATACTGATAACAGTAATAAGATAACACAAAAATTTAGAGAACAACCAGATGTTTGGTCCATCTACTCTAGGCCGTTCTATCTACTAAATTTAAATAAAATGAAAACTCTAAAAACTAAAAACCACACCTTATCGTTCAGTAATAATTTTAGCATTTTTAACTTGAAGTTCTATTTGGTAATTTATTTTATCTTCTGTCTGAGGGAGTCTTTAGCCCAAATATTGCTATAGGTACTCTTTTTTTCTACCATTTTAAACTTTGAAAGTTTAAAGCGATAGGCTCAAGTCAGTAAGTTCAGTTTTTGAGTTTACGAGAAAGAAAAATGTGGAAGCAATGTCGAAAAATTAAACAAATATATATATATATATATATATAAATTATAACACGTGAGAAAATCTATATATCATAATGTCATGTTTCAAAGTAACATATACCAATCTTAAAACGTAAATAAGCCATTCCTACCTTTATAAAAGCATGTTTATTGAATGACACTTACAGCCTAACTAACAACAAGCTCTCAAGCACATCGCACTCAGTACAGGTTACTACAACAAAATTGTTTTCACCCCATACACCCATTCTAATAAAATCTAGCGACCTCTAATTTTAAAGTATCTTGATGTCGAGAAAAACAAAGTAAATACTCGCAGAAGTAATAATTAAAATAAATTTTTATTCCAAATAAGATGTCAGTTTAAAATCAATTAAAATAACAAATAAAAGCATTTGGAAACTGATGTGTGTAGAAATTTTAATACTGAAGTACCTCGAGAAATATAGCCATAGTTTGGAACTCTTGAAATTTGTCCCAGAGTGTTAGGTAATTTCGTTATCTTACTATGGACCCCGAGTGGCACAGCAGCATGTCTGCGGACTTATACTGCTAGAAACCAGGTTTCGATACCAGTGGTGGGCAGAGCACAAAGAGATCTTTGTGTAGTTTTGTGCTTAATAACAAACAACAACAACAATAATCGTTATCTTACTGTGTCTCACACACTGAGTCATTATATATATATATATATATATATATACTATATACCTATAATTAATACCTATTTTAATTTCATTGTGCTTTCGTATCTAATTACCAGAGAAATAACATTTAAGTTTGTCTTTTATCCAGGTTTTTTTCTTTACGAACGACACTGTTATTTTGAAGTTCCGTATATCCGTCTGTTTTATTGCCTCTGCCCTCCAGTGGCAAGCGATATGTCTGGGGACTTATACTGCTAGAAACCGGGTTTCGATACTCATGGTGATCAGAGCACAGATAGCCCATTCTGTAACTTTGTGCTATAGTTGGCATGCTGTGAACTTCGGAAGCTATAACTGTGATTGTTATAACGCTTATTAATCGGGAAACTTAAGATATTTGACCAGGAACGTTTATAAATTTCGAACATTGCAAACCATTTAACTTCAATGGATTAACATCGGATATTGTGGTACATTTACGAAAACATTACCTAACTACATCGGTGGAAACTCGACCTGTAATCGGCGTGTGATCAGCGAGGACTACAGGGCTAGCTAGCCCCTTGTTATGTCAATTATACCTACATCAACTCGAAATTAACTCGCTCATCGTAAA